ACATAGTGTGACCCATTAAATATAACTATAAAAAAATCAATTAATAATAGTGATAATATTACTGCACTTCATTATTATTCTTTTTTTTTAAAGTAGTAGTATATATTTATTTCATCAACAAGTATGAAAAAAAAAAATTACACGAGAGTTTAATGCTGGGTACTTTTCATTTTATGCATTATGGTTATCACGTTATACTGCAACACTCCTAAATTCATATTTAAATATCACGATTATCGTAAATATTGGTATATTGTGACACCCCTATTATGATGTCATTAAAATCGTTGATCAGTGAGAGACAGTATAAGCTTTGCTTAACACTAGAACCGTTTTTCAAACGTACATAACAGATTTTCAATGAAACATTTAAGTCTCCCTGTCATTGACTTTTACTAAAATTGTGTGATTTACAATCCCCTGTTGTTAAAAATTGTTTAGATAAAACCAGATCATAAAAGCGCCAGCGCGGGTCAAATTTACCCGCTATATAATGCCTGTATGTTCGCGCTGTCATTTTCGTGCTGCTTATGTTTTAACATTGTACATTGCTAGGCAACACCTTTCACTCACTAAATTAGCGGTTATCAGTTTCATAAATAAAGACAAAATGAGTAAAGGAAGGCGATTTATGGATGCTGAAGAGGTATAACCGTGCGTTCACACCGTCGAGAGTGTCAAAATTCGCTCTGGCTGCCCTGCCAACAACACTGTAGAAAGATTCGTGGACGCTCTGACGTAAATCGAATGCTTGTCTTGTATTTAAAGGGGTCATATGATGCTATTTCATGCCTTTCTCTTTGGAGTGTTACAAGCTCTTGGTGCATAAAGAAGATCTGTAAAGTTGCAAAGACTAAAGTCTCAAATCCAAAGAGATATTCTTTATAAAATCAGCGATGAGCTTTGTAAAAATCGACACGTTTCAGAAAGGCGGGGCATAGAGGAGAAACAATCATGTACAGTATGTGGAAAATAATGTGTTTTTTTAACCTTAAACCGCATAAACACATTTCATTACACCAATACACAAAATAATGTTCTTTTTTAGCAACATCATATGACCCCTTTAAAGGAGCTGCAAAGAAAACAAACATGTTGATCTTGTGCAGACTGACCACAAGTAGGGTATAAGTTAACCTCATGAAATATTTCAAATGTGAAGGTAAGAAATTGATCGATGGAAAGAACTTAAAGGGTTAGTTCACCCAAAAATGAAAATTAGCCCTCGGTTTGTACTTCTAATTCGTGACCGGCGTTTTGTTTTGTTCTCTCTCCGCATTCGTCACTAATCACGCAACGCCAACGTCATACGTCATCCGCCGGAACGGCTTCCGCATATGACAGATACCGGAAGTGAGAGAAAAGTGTTTATTACGTTTGTAATATGGATATTTTTTTTTACAAAAACGCATGCATTCACTACAGGAGGAAATACTATAGAATAATCCATTCTATAGTATTTGATTTGAACAAAGAGGAGCCTAAACACATTTCAAAAACTGAGACTTCTCTTCTTTCTTCCTGTTCAAAAGCATTTTAAATATTTATTTTAATTTAATTCTCTACATTTTACAGGTACATTTGGAAAATTTGCTTTGGAATGGCAAATAAAAACAGCCTTCCCAGTAAAACTGGTCAAATTTCTTGGTACTACAAAAGTGTGTCTAACATTGTTGTATTAACACAAATGTTTAAAATGTTTACTCACCACCTCCGCTGATATTGACCTGGAATCTCTTGTATACAGTTGCGCCTTTTTTGATAATCTTCAGATGATAAACTCCGGAGTGTGTGGATTTGGTGTTTCTGATCACGAGAGATCCAGTATATTTGTCCAGCTCCAGACTGTCACCAAATCTCCCATCATCAGTGTTATACGTTTCGAAGATTTTGTTCTTCATATGGATTTCAGCTAAGAGTGTGCGCTCATCTCCAATCGTCCACAGTATTTTATCATCTCTCTGTATTTCAGTCTCACCAGTACGCAGAGCAACATTTTCTCCCTCTTTCACTGAAACTACTTTGACTTTATCTGTCTCTGCACCAAATGCATCTGGGGAACAAATAAAAACAGTTCTAAAATCATTTGTCCTGTATATACCTATGTGTCAGGTATTGGCTCACAAAAACAAGTATCAGATAAAATCTTCAGCAGGCATGTTATTAACCAAAAACAAAACACAGCAAAAGAACAAAGCAGGATAAACACAAACCAAATACAGATATAAGAACGGACAACGAAAGAAAGACTGAAACCGAGGGCTGAAACCTGTTTTTCAGTCTATGGTATAAACTTTTGTTCTCAAAATCAGGGTTAATGTTTGCCTTCCAAAATGTATCCTCTAGACTTTAAAGGTGGATTGAAACATGATCAAAATATTATTTTTTTGCTAAAGTTCTAGAAATATGATTTATTGAATCATTCAAATGAAATGATCCAAAACGAGTGAATATATTAGAAATGAAGCAAGTGACTATCTATGAATGAATCCTTGAATAATTGGCCCACTAAATTAGTTCAAAAACTGATATATTCAGGAGTGAAACACTTGTATACAATTAATATTACATTTGCAATAGCGCAAATGTGATGATATTCAGCAAAGCACACTTTCTTGAGTGATAAATCTGAAAAATAAAAACTCATACAGGGGTATTTATTTCGTTCATTACTTGAAATATTAAGGCATTATATTCTTATATGCTTCATCACACAGTGTATTATTTTGGACTTTGAAGACATGCTTTTGCACAGTCAGTGACACAAAGTAACTACTTGAAATAAAATGGAAAAAAAAACAACTTTATATATATATATATATATAAAATCGACCCTCTAATACTAACGTTCTCAATTATTTTTCTATTCTATCTACTTGTTTTCTCTTTATTTATTATAAGAAACCTTGCTATTTGTACAGCGTTAGACTAACCCAGACTTGTCACAGCACTGCATCTTATTGCTCTTTTGTTGGTTTTAATTGCTTCCATCGTCCTCATTTGTAAGTCACTTTGGATAAAAGCATCTGCTAAATAACTACACTCTTAAAAATAAAGGTGCTTCACGATGCCATAGAAGAACCTTTTTGTCTAAATGGTTCCATAAAGAACCTTTAACATCTGAAGAACCTTTCGGTTTCAGAAAAGGTTCTTTGTGGAGAAAGAAGGTTCTTCAGATTACAAAAACGCAAGAAAGAGATGGTTCTTTAAAGAACCTTTGTCTGAATGGTTCTTTGTGGAACCAAAAATGGTTCTTCAATGGCATCGCTGTGAAGAACATTTTAAGCACCTTTATTTTTAAGAGTGTAGTGTAAACCGATAACAATTACAAAATGAAAATATATATATATATATATATATATATATATATATATATATATTTAGCCTAAGGTGAAACCGAAATTGTTCAAACAAATAGATATGAAGCTCTTACCATTCAGGAGTAGTAAAAACAAAACTATTCTGAAAGCGTGCTTCGTATCGCTGTTTGTAAGTACATTTCATATCGAATAATATTATGTTCCAGTTGCACGGAGTACATGATGCTTTATATCTTCCACTCAAGATTTAGAACACCAGCCGCATGAAAATACATTACAATGACAGTAAATATCTAAACAGGGTTTTACAGAACGTGTCTATTTACAACAAAAGACTTACACATGGGACACGATTCATCCCATCATTCATGGCAGCTATATGCTGATCCACTTCATTTATTTTCATTCATTATTAATGGAAACACAAGAAGGGCTTTTCGTGTTGCAGCACGCTGAAGCATGTGCGTCTCTCCAAATAAAGGTGCTTCACGATGCCATAGAAGAACCTTTTTTGTCTAAATGGTTCCATAAAGAACCTTTAACATCTGAAGAACCTTTCGGTTTCAGAAAAGGTTCTTTGTGGAGAAAGAAGGTTCTTCAGATTACAAAAACGCAAGAAAGAGATGGTTCTTTAAAGAACCTTTGACTGAATGGTTCTTTGTGGAACCAAAAATGGTTCTTCTATGGCATCGCTTGAAGAACCGTTTGAAGCACCTTTATTTTTAAGAGTGTAAATGTAAATGTAAAGGTGTGTGTCCCATACTCGCAAATTAACCCATCCAATGCACACACACACACACACACACACACACACACACAGTACTGAGTACTAGTGAATCCACACCAGAGCTTTCTGCTAGAAGAAATAATTTCTGTTAACTAATATTGGTTGTAGGTTCAGTGCGTCAGCTGCTGACGCAATGTCGAGTGAAGTAAAATCGAAACTGGTAGTAACTGGAGACATTCTGAGCCGTTTCAGGGCAAGAGAATGCCCTTGATCCGATTAAACAGAAAAAAACATATCAGTTCTTCAGTTTACATATAGGTTTCTGCAACTTTCAACACATTAAGAACTTTTTAAGACCGTTATGAATGCAAAATATGACCCTTTTCACATCGCATTTAACCAAATCTGAGTTCCAGAACTACTGATAAGCAAACAAATTATTTCAACCAGCAAAATAAAGTCGAAATTATTTGCGACGTCTTTTTTTTTTTACAAATGTTGAAAAAGCCGTGAGCATTTCTGAATAGGCCTAAATAAGTAATCACGAGTCTATTTCGAGTCTATAGAAGTCTCAGCAATAAAAAATAAAATAAAAATCACGAGCAACCATGGTCCAAGGGCAAACCACCTGTCGAGACTGAATCCATGGAGCTCTAGAACAATTTTACTGTCATTAATCGGTCCGAACGGATTCGATCGAGCATGAACAATTAAACCTTGCAACGTGGATAAAAGCGTTTAACGTTAGCATTATTTCTGCAATGTAATAAAATTAGATATAAAATGTAGGCTATCCAAGTCCAAGTGGGTCAAAAATTACACTGAAGTCATATTTAATATTAATTTGAAATAGGCTATAATAAATTTCGCTGTACATTTGTAAGTATAAATATGATCCGGATTTCATAAATTGCTCCATCGTGTCTCCGTCTCTGATTTCCCTATCCGACTGACCAGGTTACGCCTCTGTAGGTAGGCTATTGTTGTTCAAAGATTTTCGGTTTCTTTTTTCGGTTATATCCGCATCTGAATATTCGAGTCTCCTCGTGACATGTCAACAACATTTCTGCCGTCTGCCGTTTCTCATCCCCACACCCGGCTGACCACTCAGCTAACCATAATATAGGCTACAGTAGGCTACGTGACTGCTACTCACTGAAATATGAAGTTCTAAAGCAGTCCATGCGATCCGAGAAAGTAGTGGCTGACTGGCGATTATTTCACCACAGGGTGTCACTAAACAACCAATCAGTACTACAGGTGTGTGAGGGACCTGCTGAAGCTCATGTTCACGTACGTAGATCAGAACAAAATACCTCTATATTTAATTGATTCAAATGTGACAATTTTACTATATGTAAATAGCATTTTATGATGAAATTACCAATTAAAGGAGCACTTCACTGGCAACCCTGTTGAAAAAACCAGCATATGCTGGTTAGGTATGTTTTGAAGCTGGGATGCTGGTTTAAGCTGGTCCTTTGCTGGTTTATGCTGGTCATGTGCTGGCAAAGAACCAGCATATGCTGGTTTTTTCAACAGGGAAAACGGGCTTTCATTAAAAACTTTTCCTAATTGGCTGCCTAGTAGGAAAAATAGGTAGGAAAACGTCAACACCCTCAATGCACCCTCTGTCTATCTTTTTATTTGTAAAAAATATTATTAACTTTTTATTTTTGTACCGCTTCACGTTTTTTAATGTACTGAATAATTATTTCTCTGACCCGGAAGTCGTCATAGATTGGTGAACTTCTACAGTCGTACAAGGTTGTGGCTTGAAGCGATTCAGCAAAAACCGGAAGCTAGCAATAAATTGAATTTTCTACCTAGTTAGATTGTGTTTTATTAACGTCTACACCTACCCCTTACAATAATGCAAAAATAGTAATTATTGTTGTATACCGTGAGAAAAATTACGCTATATTGATGTGCACGCGTGCCCAGTAGTTTTTGCTGTATGCCTTCTAGCCTTAACCGTCGTACAAGGTCGTCTTTGCATTTTCATTTGATGATGAAGAGCATTGTGAAGATTTACTGCTGATGGCAGAAAGAGGCAGACGAGCTGAAAGCAAAAAAAAAACATAAGAGAGTAAAAATAAACGAGTATGAATCAAGATCCACCATAGCATTCCCGCGACTTTGCACAAGAAGAAAAACAGCGGTCAGAAAAGAGAAAGAAGTCAAATTCACCATCACTCCCTCAGAAACACCCTCACAGCAGTGTTTACTCTGTTTTAATGCCAAGGTAATATCACTCAAAATAGTGTTAAGTTTACATAATTGTTTTGACGTGTTTGACGATGTTAATAACAGTGAAAGTGCATCATCACAGTCTGTGAATGCTTCTCCTCTCGACGGTTCATCCAGCAGCAGGCGCTCGGCCTTGTTACTGTTATATGCATCACATACAGGTAAAATATGAAGATTTTAGGAAGCACTGATCCAGGCCTCTACACTTCTGTTTCTCCAGAATAAAAGAGAAAAAACTAATGTTTCAACTATAATAATAAAAAAAAAAGTTATTTTGCCAAAGTACCAAAATCTGCAATCCAAAAAAAAAAAAAAAAAAAAGAGAGAGAGAATTTGTTATAAACTCAGTATTTCTCATCAAATTTTCCAATCACCAAGATCTTGTTTTAAACTCAAGTATTACTCATCAAATAATAAAAAAAAAATTCTCAGGTAAACAAATGCAAAGTTCTCTAAATGAACAATTACATTTACAGGTTACGGTGTTTTCTCATTAACATTCAACTGATGAATTTTGCTGTAACAACACATGCAAACATTATGGATACACTCCAAAAACATACCCTGCAATATTTGTTTTGCACAGAATCTGTACAGAAATGTGTGTGTCAATAGTTTGTGGGTGAAGCGTTTTTGTTTTTTTTCTCCTAGTATGATAAACTCCTCGCGAGCGCATTGATAGTTCATGCTATCACTGCATGATGTAGCTTATGCAATGAAAGTTAGAATGACCACAACAGTCAAGATATGAGTATAAATTCTGTATGACCTTTAATATCTTTTTATACTTGACTCATATGACAGAATTAAGCAATATCGCACACGCAAGCGTGCTCTTTTCCTCAACATCAGCATGATCAGCAAATGTGATATTGATTTTATGCAACAGTTCAACAAACAAGAACTTAATATTGAGTTACATTTTAGAAATAATATTGTTTGTATTTGCTCTGTGTCACAATCCTGCCTACTGTGTAGGAACGTGGAGCGAAGGAGCGAGGAGACGTGGGAGAATTTGTGACGGAACAGTCTTTATTAATCCAAAAAAGACACTCAGGAAAGAACACAGACGGAGCACAAGGGAGTTGTCGTTTAAGACAGGACGCCGGACTCAGGAAAACAGAGGGCTTAAATAGGGAACTAAATGAGGAAATTAACAAGAAACACCTGGAATAAATATCACAATCAGACATGAGGGAAAAACTAGGACATGGAGCACGTTGGGGAGGGAAACAAACACAAAACAGTCCATGGGCGTGAAATTACAAGGCCTCTACGGCCGGAGCCCTATAGCACCCCCAAAAAAAATTCCTTGGGGGAAATTTCGGATTTTGGGGCCGTCCGTTGGCCTGATTTAGGAGCAGCGGCCTTCTCTGGGCTTGACTCGGGAACGGGGGCCCTCCCTGGGCTGGACGTGGGAACAGAAGCCCTCTCTGGGTTGGATGTGGGAACGGGAGCCCTCCCTGGGCTGGACGTGGGAACAGAAGCCATCTCTGGGCTTGACTTAGGGACTGGAGCCCTCTTTGGGCTGGACGTGGGAACTGGAGCCCTTTCAGGAGCGGACTCCGGGGCTGGAGCCGACACTGGAGCGGACTCAGGGGCTGGAGCCGACAGTCTTTTTCTCCTCATACTCCTCTTTTGGTTTGAGGTGAGGGAAACAGCTGCTGTTAGCTGAGGGCTTGGGGAGTGAATTGGTCGGCGGGCTTGACTTCCGAGCGGCCGGTGGGCTTGACGGAGGGCTGGTTCTGAATCGGGGCCAGACACTCTCCAGACACCGGAGGATCCCTTCCCTCCAGCTCAGTCCTGTGGTGTCTAGGAGGTCGACCGGGCGATGGTAGTTGGCCCCGATCCAGAACAGAGAATTCAGCGTTGCATCGTCCAGCGCTGTCATAACGGCGAGCCCGCAGAATTCTCGGGCGAACTTGACAAAAGGGAGATCCCGGAGAATTTCGCGGCGGTTTCCATGATCGCGGGGGGGGAGGGGGGAACGGAAAACAAAGCACAAAACACGGGGAGAAGGGGCGCCGCTTACTGTTTTTTTAGGTCCTGTCTTCTGTTACAATCCTGCCTACTGTGTAGGAACGAGGAGTGAAGGAGCGAGGAGACGTGGGAGAATTTGTGATGGAACAGTCTTTATTAATCCAAAAAAGACACTCAGGAAGGAACACACACGGAGCACAAGGGAGTTGTCGTTTAAGACAGGACGCCGGACTCAGGAAAACAGAGGACTTAAATAGGGAACTAAACGAGGAAATTAACAAGAAACACCTGGAATAAATATCACAATCAGACATGAGGGAAAAACTAGCACATGGAGCACGTGGGGGGGGAAAACAAACACAAAACAGTCCATGGGCGTGACACTCTATTTTAACAATTAATATAATATAAATCCACAGAAGAACACAAGGTGGTATTTTGTTACTGAATGAATCTGTGCTTGTGAACAAATCGTGCAAGTCAATGATTCAAAGACTTATTAATAAATAGAGTCACTTGCTTTGTTCCTGAATCAGTCTGCCGTTTTGAACAAATTGGTTGAATGAATGATTCAGTGACTCACTCATTAAGACAATGAAAAAAGTTAATTTCTGTTACTGCAGCAAATTTAACTGCACAGAAAATTAAATGCTTTGGGAACCTAGCACAATTACTGTTTACAAAATCTAAACAAAAATCAAAATTTTTTTTTTTGGTCAACATTGCACGCCCCTAGTCAGAAGTCAAATATGATTGACAGCTCACAACACTAAATAAAACACCAGCAGATACTGATTTCTAATCCAATATTTCACTCTTTTATTAGTTTTCACACAAGGCCAAAATTCATTTGAAAATGTAAGATCAGCAAAAGCTTCTTGATTTTCGTGATATTAAAGGAGATGGACGTGTGAACGGAAACTAACTGAGGTTTGGGGAGGACACAACCAGATAAATATCACAGTTCAGTCGGGAGTGTTTTCAGACATTTTAAGCATCACTGTTATGGGTTTTTCAGTGAACCGATGAAGAAAATATTTCTTATTACTGAACCAGTTTTGACGAGTTTGTCTTTTCATATGATTTGTGGACTAAAACCGTTAAAGATGTTTTGGATTGTTTCATTCTGTCTGTGTTTGTGGCGTCTGGATGGTTAGTTTGAAATGTGTTTTTATGACTTCAATTGCTTCTGTTCTGGTACCATGTAATAAATGACTGGTTAAATTAGTCAGAGGATTAACATTCACTGTTATTCTCATATAGAAATGCACCATGATACTAATCTGAGATCAAGTTTGAATTCAAGTTATTCAGGTTATTCTGTTAGTTATTGATTCCATAAAATATGAAGCTCAAATAACCAACAGCATTTGTGTTGGTTGTATTAAAATTCATTCTAGTTAGCTATTTTTTCATATAGAACTCTTGTCAAAACTCTTGTATAAATCTCTTGTCATTGATCATCTTTTGTCATCTTTTTGCACTGCTGTAGAATATTGTTATTATTATTATTAATAGTATTTTAGTGAAGCTTCATCAAATCAACATCAAATGAGTTTAAAGCTTAATCTGTAAAAAAAAATCTGTTCTTCAGGTGTGTTTGGTGATGAAGTGGAGTCAGTGTCAGTGCTGGAGGGAGATTCAGTCACTCTAAACTCTGGTCTTACTGAAATGAAGGATGATGATGTGATTCAGTGGAGGTTTTGGATTGAAAACACTTTAATAGCTGAAATCAATAAAAGGGCCGACAACATCACTGTATATGATGATGTTCTTGATGGGAGATTCAGAGACAGACTGAAGATGAGCAATCAAACTGGATCTCTGACCATCACAAACACCAGAACTGAACATGCTGGACGTTATAAACTACAGACCAACAGTGTGAGAAAGTGTTTCAAAATCACTGTATTTGGTGGGAAGTTATTTCACATGCTTTATATTTTAATCAGTACAAAGATGCAATTAATAATTCAAACTCCATTTTGCTTCTGTTGATTCACGATGATATTTATTTCAAATTTAAACTTCAAACTATTTGCTTGAGTAAACCATCAAATAATCACTTTTATCCTTGTTTCTGATTGTTCTCTTTCTGTTTGGTGTTACAGTACTGAAGTCAGTGTCAGTGAAGGAGGGAGATTCAGTCACTCTGAACTCTGGTCTTACTGAAATAATGGATGATGATGAGATTCAGTGGAGGTTTGTAAGTGAAAACGCTTTAATCGCTGAAATCAATAAACCGACCGACATATCCACTGTATTTGATGATGTTCTTGACGGGAGATTCAGAAACAGACTGAAGCTGGACAAACAAACTGGATCTCTGACCATCACAAACATCACAACTCATCATGCTGGAGAATATGAACAACGGACTAACAAACTGACTGAGAGTTTCAGTCTCACTGTCTATGGTGAGTGTTTTATTGGTTTCATTTATTTATTGCAGCATTAAGTATTAGTAAATCTAAGGAAGTATCTAATTGCTTAGAATTACAAATCAGCTTTTTTAGCTTTATATTTAACTTTCTATTAAATTGTATTTAAATGCTCTTCTTTTGATCAGTCTTGGTTCCTCTCAATGTTTTTTTCCACAAGCTTGACTATATTCATTCATCTTCAATTATCTTTATTCTCTCATGTTTCCAGCTCGTCTGCCTGTTCCTGTCATCAGCAGAGACTGTTCTTCTTCATCATCATCATCATATTGTTCATTGGTGTGTTCAGTGGTGAATGTGGGTCATGTGACTCTCTCCTGGTACAAAGGAAACAGTTTATTGTCCAGCATCAGTGTGTCTGATCTCAGCATCAGTCTCTCTCTACCTCTGGAGGTGGAATATCAGGATAAAAACAGCTACAGCTGTGTGCTCAACAATCCCATCAGCAACCAGACCACACATCTGGACATCAGTCAACTCTGTCAACCATGTTCAGGTACAGCAGCTGATATTAGTTGATGTCGGCGCTGATATTAACGATTATTGACTGAGCTGATCTTAGTTTGATGTTTTTATTCCTCAGACTCTGTCCACTGTTGTGGTTCTACTGAAGCTGTGATCCGATTGGTCCTCTCTGCTCTGGTGGGCGTGGCTACTGTCATTCTTCTGGTTTATGAGATCAGATCTAGAAGAGCTCAACCAGATCAAACACATATTCACACACCAGGTACATGATTGATGATGTCATTCATCACAAACTGTTGTATAAATATTTGTGAGATTTATTAATTTATGGCTGTATATCTTGATCTTTTTCAGGAAGTATTGAAATCTAAAGCAGCTCATGCTCTCTCTGCAATTTTAAGTGTCTAAATTTAAAAAAATCTAGTTTGAAAGACTTTATTGTTTATATTTCCCACATATGAGTAGAGACACACATATCTTTCGTTACTACTGCTGTACATCTGTAATATGTATTTTCTGACCATTATCAATAACGTTTTCTCACTCTGAGGTTCAAGAGTCTCTTCATGTTTTATTACATTTATGATGTTGAGCGCCTCCTAGAGGAATACATTATGTACATTTTAACGAGTTCAGCAGAGCAATACATATATATACACAGGTTTACGGTATTTATATTTGTAAATGTACATTATTGTTAAGCTCATGTGTTTTTTTTTTCTTCTAAAACATTTCTTTTTACATTTATTATTAAATTGTTATTTTGGCACCTCTGCAAGATTTTCTTTAGTAAACCATAACCTATAGGCTATACAGCTAAAACATGATTACTATTTATATTACTGCCTATTTTTCCTAATAGTATTATAAAATTAAGGTTTAGAAAAAAAAATGATGAATGGAAAATAATTAATAATTAATAATCACAGTCTGTGAATGTTTCTCCTCTCGAAAGTTCATCCAGCAGGAGGCGCTCAGCTTTTAGTTTTTTTTTAGATGTGCAAAAAATGTTGTTTAAAGGGGTCATATGATGCGATTTCAAGTTTTCCTTTCTCTTTGGAGTGTTACAAGCTGATTGTGCATAGATAAGATCCCTGAAGTTGCAAAGACTAAAGTCTCAAACCCAAAGAGATATTCTTTATCAAAGTTAAGACTCTGCCACGCCCCCCTAAAACGGCTCATTCTAACACGCCCCCACATATCTACCACACTATATGGAAATATTTGCATAATGCCACCCAAATGTTCACGCAAAGAAAGAACGCGTGGTTTCAGTAACCGCAGTTAGTGTTGAAGCAGCCATGTCAGGGAGACGCTGTGTGATACATTTCCGATGCGTGCTTGTGGTGTTCGGCCAATCACAATGCACTGTGTCAGCTGGCCAATCAGAGCAGACTGCATTTGTCGGAAGGAGGGACTTTGTAGAAAGTATTGTGTATAGTGTACAGTATCTGAAAAAGAAGGTGTTTTTTGAACATTAAAGCATGTCAACATATTCTGTTACACCAAATACACAAAATAATGATCTTTAAAAAAGCATCATATGACCCCTTTAATGTTTTGAGTGTATGGTTTCCAGTCCTCTTCCCGTTACCTATGTTGTAAACATTTAAAATATGAGAGTTATTGTGTAAGTTCATCATCATTGCAAGTTGAATTTCAGAAAACTTTTCAGGATTTCTCCAGAAGAAAAGCCCAAGCTAAACTCACGAGCTTCACCTAGAGTTTCAAAACTAAAGCTACTGTGCTCAAACTCACCAATATACCAGAGTCTACAATCAAAAGTTCATCATGAACTTTAGCATTTCTCATCAGATTTTCCCAAGACTATATCTCTCAGTTTATCAAATGCCAGTGTTTCTAAATGAACATTTACAGGTTGCTGTATTTCTTCATTAACTTGCACTCATGAATTTTGTTGTAACAACACAGGCACGCACTGCAAATGTCATTCACTGTTTTTTGTTTCAAATGGACCCTGCAGTGGTTTTCATCTTTGTTTTTTCTGTACAGAAATGTGGCTTGATCTGCTGGATGTTTGTGTGTGTTAAAGGGGTCATATGATGCGACTTTAAACCGCATAAACACATTTCATTACACCAAATACACAAAATAATGTTCTTTTTAGCAGCATCATATGACCCCTTTAATAGCTTGTGGGTGAAGCATTTCCCCCCCTTCTAGTACGATAAACTAGTGCAGTTAAATTAATGCAGATAAATAATGCAGTCAAATAACCACAAAATTTAAGATATTGCAGCAAAAATCTGTATGACTTTAATAGCTTTTATATTTATATCATATGACGTAGTTAAGGAATATGGCATGAGCAAGTGTTTGTGGCGTCTGGTAAGTTTTAAATGTGTTTGTATGGCTTCAGTTGCTTCTGTTCTGGAACCATGTTATAAATTACTGTGCTTTTACTGTAAGATTAAGTTTGAATTCTGTTCATTAGTTAGTAGGACGTGATTCAACTGATTCACCTCTCGTTTAAATGAGTAGTTTAAGTGGAGGCTTCGTCCAACATCAAGTGATTTTGTGGCTTGTTTTGTGTGGGCTAGATATGACGTGTGTGCGCAACAAACCAGTTTAGCTATTTCTGAGATGAGGCCCACATCTGGTCCTTTTGTGGCTGACTTCCGGTAGCCACAGGTAGAACTAAAAGTGATCTGGATGAAGACACAATCATCATAGGGAGAACAATTTTAAATCAAATATTGTATCATTTATTATTAGAGTTGGTGGTTCTGCTGGGCCCTTATTGTGCCAACCACAGCAATTGGGATTTTGTTTCTGTTTTTCCTTCATGTTCCAAGTATTTGCTCATTTTCAGTTTTTGTTTTTGTTCCTTAAAGCAGCACTATGTAACTTTTTCTGTGTTCAAAATTAGCAAAATGTATATAATTGTAATGAATTCATCTTCCAAACCGCGTTTTTGTCTTATTCCGAATCAGTACGGTACACTTATAATAAGTACTTATATTTGGACTATTGTAGCCTGGTCGGGTCGTCGCCGCTGCGGAGTAACACATACCTGCGTGAATTGCCAGAGACATAAACTTAGAGAAGTAGCTCCGGTTGGAATGTTCTTCCGCGGGATGTGTGCAGTTCTGTTTATTAACCGCCAGAGCGCCAAAAGTTACATAGTGCTGCTTTAAAAACACTGACATGTATGTCTACGACGCTTGCACTGAATCTACCTGTATCAGACCCATCTTTACAACTAGTCCAGTCAATGCTTGATACATTACTTTACCCACATACCCAACACTCCCCTAAACCCTGTTTTACAAAATGTTTTTTCTTTAAAGGTCCCATATTGTCAAAACTGAAATTTCCTGGCTTTTTTCATGATACGGTCTAGGTGCTATGTAACTACCATATAAGTTTCAAAACAGTCAGTCCACAGTAAAATTCACACAGCCTGCTTAAAGTAGCTGTGATTTTTCACGAACCGTTGTGACTTCCGTAAAAAGTTGACGTCAGAACTACACAGTCACCGCCTTCAGTCACCACCCGAGCACCGCCCCACTCTCCTTTTGCCAAACCCCCAGACAACATCGCGGAAACATGTCGAAAAGGTTAACTTTAAACATGAAACCAGATCGGCTGACCTGTAACTTTACACTCTCACTCAAAGGATGGACAATCTGACAGGATTGTTACTATGAGGTGGATCACATCTAACGTGTATAGTAAAGACAAACTCACCGTGTCCATCTAGTCATGATGAAGATGTATATACATTTCAATTTCAGCAGGCAACTATTTTTACAGCTACATTATTGTTCCAGCCACAATTAATCACAACAATGTATATACAATTACAAATGATTATATATAAATCGTCAGTTTGTTGTTTTACACACATGCACACAGACATTATTTCACTAATAATGTGCTAGTTAGCAAGTGTCGTGGCTAAATGTGGCTAAAGTTTACAGTCGGTTCGTCACCCCACGGAAAAGAGGGGCGGGGTCAGCAGAGCTCATTAGCATTTAAAGCGACATGCAAGGAAACGGCATGCTGAAAACAGAGCTGTTTTTGACAGGGTAAAAAGGGTGTTTTTTTACACTACCATTGAGAAATTTTAACCAAAGTATGTTATAGACTTTTCATTAAGACCCTAAAGAATCATATCAACTTGTGGAAAATGGGCATCCGATGACCCCTTTAAATCTTTCAAATTGTGCCAACTGTTTTGGTTTTACTGAAACATGTGATTTGATGGGTCAAAGATAGTGGCCTTAAAACATACTTGGACACATTTAGACATTTAGCAGACGCTTTTATCCAAAGCGACTTACAAATGAGGACGATGGAAGCAATCAAAACCAACAAAAGAGCAATGATATGCAAGTGCTACAACAAGTCTTAGTCAGCTTAATTCAGTACACGTAGCAAGGTTTTTTTTTTTAATCATATAATAAATAAAAAGAAAACAGAATAGAAAAAGAATAGAGAAAGCTAGTGTTAGAGGCCTTTTTTACTTTTGTTAATTGTATAATAAATAAACAGAAAAGAAAGATAGAATACAAAAAGATTAGAGAAGCAAGTGTCAGTTTTTTTTATTTTTATAAAGAAAATAAGCAGGTAGTAAATAAATAGAGTGCAAGTCTAAAAGGGGCAAGTTTAAAAAAAATTTTTTATTATAAAGAATAGAATTAGAATAGAGAGTGCTAGAGTTAGAGGGTCAAATAAAGATGGAAGAGATGTGTTTTTAGCCGATTCTTGAAGATGGCTAAGGACTCAGCTGCTCGGATTGAGTTGG